TATGTACTTGACCCGAGAGTAGCATGGTCCAATTGGATTGCATGGCGCCGGAACAATCTGAAGGATGGACTTTTGAGAAGAGGATATTTATGATTTATTCATATATTATAAGTTCTAATATATTAATATGAAATCATATTATTTAATTAGTATTGATCAAGAATTAGTTTGAAATTAATTATATGATCATGAGAGACTAATTAAATATATGGGGATTGATTTGGTAAATCATTGATTCCTATAAAGGGGGTCAATGATCCATATTTCTTCAAGTTGGGCTAAACCAATGTTATAACCCATGGGTAGTGTAACCCTAGTTGTGTCACACTATATAAGAAACCTCATGGCAACCAAAATCAGCACTTAAGTGACACACTAAAAGGCTAGTTGATTTTTGGGTGTGCAAGACAATCTTCTCTCAAGTCCTCCATTATTGGTGGTGTTGTGTGATTCCATTTAAGGTGCAACACTTGGAGTACTAAGTTCTTCAAGGCCAAACTCAAGAATTTATACAAGCTACAACAAAGAGGTAACTCTATAACCCATTTGTATGTTGTTTATATCAATTGTATGTTAGTTGTAGGCTTAAAGCTTTTGAAATAATATTGCATGTATAATTAGAGAAAACATAGATCCAAAGCTTTTATGGTTGTATGTGCACCATAGGATGTTGTAGTATACCAAAGCCTAACATTAGATACTTCAGGTTTGAAAGGGAAGGGCCCGACGTGATTGCCCATCGTGATTTTTACTCTGACGTTTAAATACTATTTTTCTCATTGAATATGTTGGGAATAGAATGTTATATGAATTAATGTTTTAAAAATGGAAATTTTTCCATGGATTTTAGGATGTTACAAGTTGGTATTAGAGCCTTGGTTTGAGGAATTCAGACACATTCTCAGGTGTGACTGAACGCAAACTGAGGAATTTGTAATATTTTGAAAGAAAACAATTTCTAAAAAGATTTTTATAGAAAGAAAGGGGGTGCGATGAGTGCAATCAATCAAGCTTGAGTAAGTGATTCCAAGAATACGCATACATGTTGATATGTTATATGATATGAATGCTTGCATGCTAGGATACGGCTGAGGATACTTTCATGAATTGCATGATAAATTTGTCTGATATATGATGCCTCGTAGCCTAGGAGGAATTGGATGCTATGCTAGATTTAGAATATGTATTGGTAGAAGTTATTGCTAAGTGTATGCTTTAAAAATTGTATACGCTTAGGATCATATAGCCCTAGAATGACTAACTTGGCCTTATTTCCTATTCCTCGTCTGGTTATGGTCCTAGGTATAGTCTTTTACTTGATAGTCTATTTGAGTTGTATTGTGTATAATTTGCATGTATAAGGCAACCAACAGTGAGAGTGGAAGTTCCTAGCAGGGTAGTAGTAACTGAGCTTTAGATGTTCTATGTTTGCTTTGTGGCTTGGAGTATGTACTGCACGAATACTACTTGCTTTGTGCTTTGTGGAACCCTTAGTGATGTGAGTTAACTATTAAGTGAATACGTTAAGTCACATGCTACAAAGGTTAAATAATCTCAGAGTGATGAATTTGACTCTATTGCATAGTTGTCGTTTGAGTCTAATTGTTGTAGGGTTGAGTCTTTTACTCAAACGATCATCTAAGCTTTGTTGCATGTGATTGTATTCATGAAGTAATTAGCTAACATTAGTGGGAGTTCTTCAGTAGCTGATGGCAGGGTGAGGTTCGGGAACCTAGGAGAGTCTAGGAAGTGTTGTAGTGGGCTTGATTACGCTGTTTAGCGGATATTTGGAATATCAACTTGAGAAGGTGACTTAGAGGGTTCGGTATAACTTTTGAGGAAAGTATGGATAGGTGTGGAAGGTAGTATTAGGCCCGTACTACTAAAAGCATAGGATCCATACTCGAATCAATGAGGGTCACAAAGATTCTAGGGAACCTATATGATAAGGGATTTCATGGGTATGATCTGATTTTTGTGTGGTTTCTTTTCAAAATGGTGATGCGCAGCACTCAAGGAGGAGGATCTGGTTCAGGTTTAGGTGTTGGCACTGAGCCGATGGATGAGCGGATGCAAGAGTTGATTTCTTCAGAGATCACCCGTTGTATTTTGGAGCAGATTCCTGTGATATTTGGTACGATCAAGGAGGGGATCATGGAGATTATGGATGAGCATCAGGACGCGTATCGCTTTGGGATACCACTTGATCATATCAGAAAAGCATTTCTGATCCGCCACTGAATTTCCCTTGTACACTTCAGAATTCAGAGCTATAGTGGAGTATTGATGCTTGTTACGCAAGAAGAACATGTTTTTCAAAACTTTGTCACCCTCCTTTCGTTGATATACCACACTCCAATGTTCCTTTTAGATTTTTCCCAGTTTGAGCTTATGAAGGTCCTTCGGTTCTGGTTCAGGTTTTAACATAGGCTTCTTCTTTAGACCGGCTGCAATTTCTACATCCATTTTGGCAACCTCATGAATGTAACAAATCAACATTCTCTTCAAGTGAGCAACGATGGGCTCATACATTTGCTCATTTTCGAAACAATTAAGAACACTAAAATCTAGTAGAAAGGAGACATTCGCGGTAGATCAGGAAGAGTAAATTCATCTTCGATGCGATTCGCACCTCAGAATCCTTTAAACTTGATATTTATGAAGCTTTCAGTTTGAATAGGAGCATAATTGCATAAAACTTCAATGCAATGATATTCTTTAAACTCCAGATCTGAAATTGAGGTTTGCCATACTTAAGAGAGAAAGAGAAGAGCATATGATTGACTTCATAATCCGAGAGTGGTAATTTCTCAATCTTCTCAAAACATCGAAACATAAAAGCCCTTGGAGTAATTGGAAAATCAAGCTGAGAATTAGCTGAATTATTCAGATCGAATGATAACAAAGGCTCCAACCAATGGATGCTCGGATCAGCGACAATCTCTCTCTAAATTCTATCCATAAACTATGGTGCAAAAAGAAACTTCTGAGTCTCAAGAGTGACTTTAGAAATTTTCGCTTCAGCCTCCTGAGCTTCTAATTCTTTTTGAAGATGCAGAAGATGATCAAGTTCATTGTCACGTTTCTTCCTTATGAGCTTTTCTCCTTTAGTAAGCTCTTCTTCTTCTTCTTCTTCTTCTTCTTCAAACACCATATTTTCGTTAACTTTTGATGATGCAGAAGCTACATTATCCTTCTCATCATTTGGCTTTGGATTTTGCTCAGATTGCTTTGTTTCCTCAATTTTTGGCTTTGGTTGGGGTTCTTATGCTTTCTTACCTCCTTCTTGTTTCGGAAGAGCATCACTTTCCGAAACACCTTCTAATATGGTAAGCATTGAGAAAACGGGTTGCAGTTTCTCCGAGAGTTGTTGACAAACAGAGATGGTAAGAAAGGAGTCACGAGTCTCCACAAGACGGTGCAGGTATTTATTGATTTCTGAGACACAACACTTAAGGATTGTTTTCTCAGACTCTAAGTCATCCACATGCTTGTTCCTATAATGGAGCTTCACGGAAAAAGTTTTGGCCTTTTCAGTCTTCTCAGCCAATTTATCCATTATTTTATTTTCTGCAACAAGATCTGTCTGAAACTTCTCAATCTTTGTAAGAATAGAAGTATTAAGTTCAGTATTGTAAACGCGAAGATCAGAATGCACACGAGAAAGTGCTTCCTTTTCGGATTACAGAGTAGAGCCAAGACCTGTAGTGACTTTGTTAACGGCTTATATATTGGAAATTGGATGTAATTTATATACACGCCGAGGTAATCCTCCCTTTGAGTATATGACAACACCATAGACGGCACCACCAACATCATCTCTAAAAACAATGCAACCCAAAATACATGCAGCCGAGGGACCATATCTCCTATAGGAACAATGTTAAATAGACGAACTGTGTGTGTATCCAAAGTTATAGACTGGGTAATTTCTTTTGTTTTCCTATAAGTACGCACGTATTCGTTGTTTGCAGTTAACATGTCACTTAGGGAAGCAATAATATCCGCAAATTGCACCAATTTGTTGTCTTCACGAAAAGAACGAATCCGATTTACAACCTCATTCTCAATATCACAAATATATAATTGTAAAAAACATGGGGGACCATCATCCTGAGGACAAAGAGACCTAATCAAATGGGAAATCTGACCAGATACCTTGAAGACATATGGAGCACAACAATATTAATTCCTTCATCTACCTTTGTACCAAAAGACATCATATAAAAACATGGAATCTATGCTCTGACCACTACAAGAAAAAAGCCCTTTAATGACGCGCAAACAATGACACTCGCTGATAGAGGTCGCGCATTTGTAAGTGCCCTAAAAAATACTGTCAGTTTTGCAAAATTTGAAGGATAGAGGGCACGCATTTGTGCGCGCCCTAAAATTGGTGTTAGAAAAGAAAATTAAATAAATGCGGAGGGCGCCTTTCATAAATTGTGCGTCATGTAAGTGTGTCGCTTTATAATTTTTAAGTGAAACACGCGTTTTAGGCGGGAAATGAAATCGACTAAAATTACTGGCGCCTATTGTATCCCAAAAATTAATCCCCCGTCTCTTCTACTTAGCAAGAAAAAGCCCTAGGTCCTTCATCTTCATCTTCAGCGGTGGGAATACCTAGGTCGATTATTCAGGGTTCAACAACAGATTTGTAAACAACAATCGTATACGATTCTGGATCTCGGCATGATTATGGCGCTTTGGAGCCAACGACGTGAACATCATTCATGAGAAAAGTTCATACAAAATTCAAGAATTTCAATGGTTTCGATTATTGAGTGGGGTACAGGGAGGTGTAATCATTTTGGAATCTTTACTAATTGAGTTGAAATTGAACCCGAAAAACTCAATCCACACTTCGAACATCTCTGATTCTTTCTTCTTTCGCTCCCCAATCTCCTTAGCGGCGCTCTTTCCATTTCCATTTCCAACCTCAAACCACCGTTAAATGGAACCCAACAATTCAATCAATCAAATTGGCAATCACATCGACGATGATGGTGATCAGAACTCATTTCCAAGCCACCGTTATCAGATCATCACCTATTCAAGAAAGAGAAAACACTCTCAATCTCAGGTAATCACACTAATCGATTCAACACAAGTAAACCCTCTTTCGGAATCATCAGTTCTAGGGCTTGTTCTCCTTGCTCATACGTTCTCATACGATATTCAAAACCTCACTAAGTCTCTCCTTCTCGAAATCCTCGCAAGATTGCCCCTGAAATCAATTTTTAGGTTCAAATGTGTTTGCAAACACTAGCTAGATTTAATTTCTCAGCCTTCATTTTCCTGTTTCTATTGCTCGCATATGCTCACAGCCAGCGCATCGTCAACATCCTTACCTCAAAATTCTCGATCCTTTGCTCTTTCAAAAAAAGTAAGCAGGTATTTTTGTATGTTCTTGTGGTCTCTTTACTTTCTGCTTGTATTGATAATATTGAACATATGTTTTGAGAATAGAATATTAAACCCTAGATTCTGGAAACTTGCAGAAAAGGAAGGAGATGAGCTATGCACTCCAAGTGTTCGAAGAAATGCTTAAAAGAAGAATCTTACCTAATTCATACCTTATAACATTACCTGATGTACACAAGACCAAGTGATATGGTACCTAATCACACCTTGCACTCGAATGCATACAGGGCAAGCCTGTATTTATTCTTTTTCTTAATTTGTTGGAGATGGTAACTAAGGATCGTTCTTGTGAACATTCCTTCTTTTCAGGCTGTAGATTATCACAACTAAGAAATAGTTAAACTAAATTTTGTATCTTATCTAATTTGTGCTCTTGTAGTGCCCATGCACTTCCACCTTCATATCGGTCACTCATGACAACTGATGATTCAAGGATTCTTGATTTCTATGTTGATGGTATGTCCCATTCTAAGCTATCTAATAGATAAATTTTGTTGCTTAATATCATTATGAACACTATTGATTATATACATATGTTGTTGTTTATACTCAGATTTTGATGTCGACACAGATGGAAAAAGATTTATTTGGCAGGTTAGGGGATATGATTATTTGGCAGGTTAGGGGATATAATTTTCTTATGTTTCAAAAATATCTCTTTTGTAGGGTATCTGCAAGTTTCCTTTTATTAATGAAGAGTGCCTTCTTGATTCAACAAAAATGATTAAGAAGGAACTGACTGTACGTAAGGCTGAATTATATACAGGACTTTCAAACATTTGACAAGGAATCTAATTAACATGGTCTTTTATCTTCAGGAGGAGGAAGCTAAAAGAAATCCTGAGAATGTCGACAAGTAGTTCCTACACATTTTAGAAAATCTTGCCTTGCGGATTATCACTTCCTTTAACAATGAAGGCTCCATCGAGCAAAATACATGCTTAAGGTTGTGTTCTCCATTGTTATAATGCAGTGATTATTCTTTTTCCTAATGTAAATATTTTCTTCTCTTGTTTCAATTTCAGTGGAGAATTAATATCATATGTTTGTTGGGGTTACATTGAGCAAAACAGTAGGCGGTAGGCTAATCGCATCCACCCTAGTCCAAGTATCTTTTCCACATACACACACACACACCCTAAACTTTAAAGATGACTATAATTAATATTTCATGTAGATGACTTTTTTTTTGTTAAATTGCCTTTTCTCAGGAAAGATCCCATCTCTCCAACGGATCAATGGATGACCACAATCGTGGTTCGGGGCAGGTTGTGCTTTTTACTTGTTTTTTTGGAAAGTTGATTACCCTTTCTATTTTTTCATTAATTTTCTGCTTTTGTTTTCTGTTGCTTGCAGATGATGGATGGAACCCAGATCAATATAGATGTAACTGCAGTTGGGGCTATAATTGCTTTGGGTCTAATGTACTTAAAGGTAACTCTTTGGCAGGAAGGATGACTATATATATTTGTTTATGATTTTATGTCAGCTCTGTTCTCAAGATTTACAACTTTGAAAAAATATTCTAATGACAGACTAAATTGCAAGCGATTCTATCCAGGCTTTGTATCCCATAAACACATTTCGAATTGCAATATGTGAGGCCCCACTTCATAATGCTCCATGTCATTTCCAGTAATTTAATAATGTGGAGCAGGTACTGCTATTTAAAATTCATATGCTACATTAATATTCATGCTGGCTATATGTAAAGAGTAAGAGATCTCTTTAAACACCTTGCATGTGTTTTTAGGCTTCATCCATCAGAAGATTGGATTCAGGGTTAGATACCCAAAGTAGTCTTGAATGGCATCAAAGGATTCATCCATCAGAAGATTGTGAGTACATCTCATCAAGAGACTAGTGATTACTTTTCTGATGAATCAAGACGTATACATTGCACAAAATGTGAACTAATGCATATATGGAAGTTGAAAAGCTGTTGACTATGGCATACACTGTTGGCCTCCTTGGAATTGTAAAGCTGCTAACTGTGGCATAGACTGCTGAACACTTAGACTTTGAAAAGCTGACTGGTGGCCACATGGAAGTTGAAAAGCTGACTGTGGCAACTACTGCTGCTGCTGGACACCTGGAAGTTGAGAAGCTGATTGTGGCATAGATTGGTGTCCACCTAGAAGTTGAAAAGCTAACTGTGGCATAGGTTGCTGCTGCTGGACACCTTGAGGTGGAAAAGCTAACTGTGGCATAGGCTGCTTCTACTGAAATACTAGATGCTTGACCATTTTGAGAAGGAAAAGCAATTTGCGAGGGTCCAGGTGGAGGCAATATATCAGCTAAAAATGTCAACAGTTGAATCAAAATCAAAAGTATCCCCAAATCCCCCTGACCCTGACATTGGGTCAACTGAAAATGATGGTGGTTCAACAACAGTTGTAGTGAAGGGTGATGTTGGTGGTTAAGCCGAAAATCCATCAGTAGAAGGAACAGCTTTGAAAGGACCATCACCAAACGGATCATCAAATGCCTGCAATCAATGCATAAAGAGTGTAAATTTACAACATAAACAAACTATCAATATGTGTGTGTAGAATCCAGCTTTTAAGACACTCACGCACCCGACTTGTCGATGAGGTATCGAAGGTGAGATAAGGATTAGTATTTGCTGGAGGATGAACTTCAGTGGTTATAGATGAAGTAGATGTTACAACAGCCAAAGCATTTGAAGAAGAGAAAGACTCTGATAGAGAACCAAACAAATCCTCCATCTCTCCACCACCTGATCCTTGCAGGGCAAACGCAAGGGCAGGAGCAGGAACAACACCACAGGGATCAAAAAAGTCAAACCCATCGTTTTTGTGACATCCCCAAAATCACGGCCAGAAAACACCGATTTTGTTTATGCTTTATAAAAATCAGAGTACTTCATTTTATAAAAAGGTTGCGGAATTTGTTCCCAGAAAAACATGGTAAATACGTTATTAAAACATTTTCGAAGAAACGTATTTATTTCATTTTAAAATGTTTGGGATGTCATCGTTAATACCGAAACATAAGCATAAACAGAACTTACAATGATTTACACTAGTGATCTACATCTCTTTTAAATCTCTCAGTGTAATGTCACTTCACTTCGTCACCTGTGATATACATAAACTGAGTGGGTCAGGTTGGGAAACCTGGTGAGTACATAGGGTTTTCAACCCACAATAATATAATTACTATGTTCAATCAAACAATCAACCCAATTACCCATCCCCATTATCTTCTTTACTCTTTAAGGATTTAACCTAAGAGTCATCTATCCTGCATTCGTTTATTCCGAAGTCCCTTACCTCCAGGGTTATAGGACTGACACTAAATCCATAGCTGCCAATGTTCGTTCATAAAGCACTAATTCCATAGCTGCTATGGTCTATTCATCAGGTACTAAATCCATAGCTACCAGTCTTTATCTAATAGGTACTAAGTCCATAGCTACCAATGTTCAACAGGTACTAAGTCCATAGCTACCAATTCCCAACAGGTACTAAATCCATAGCTACCAACGTTTAACAGGTACTAAGTCCATAGCTACCGGTGTTTGTCCCATAGGCACTAAGTCTATAACTGCCAATGTATCATCTTCTATCTCTCATCATTCATCTACCCATATCATACCCAACATATTCGTATATATAAAATACGTATACAACTTAAATTCTTTAAAACATGTATAAAACGTTCATCCAGCATAGACAGCAAGTATTCAGATAATATGCACACATAGCACGTAGTTTATATAAAATACTTCATATCTATGTGTAAGATGAAAGGGACTATGCACTCACCTGAGAAGGTGGTGACTCGGTACTCGGACAGCGCTTCGTTTACTTTAAAATAATTTCCTTTGACGAAACCTAATATTATCACCACTAGATTTTAGTCTAATATTACCGTCACTAATTATTAGTCTTATTATTATTATTATTATTATATAAGCGTTTAAACAATACTTTCCAACTACTATGTACAGACAGGGGCCAGACATAAAACACCGGAGGGCAGGACCATTTTGGCGTATAGCACTTCTGAAATCCAACAACCCTATGCGGCCCTTTAAACCAGATTCCCCGTACCGCGAGTAGTTAAAAGATATTATAACGACACTTATATAAGTCATAATAATAGCTCAAATATTTATTATAAATTTATAATAACAATACTAATTTTAAATATAAACTATATTTAAAATAGGGTAAGCATAACTTACTTTCAAGGGGATTTTAGCTAGGAGTCGGGCTCTGCAGGGGCAGAACTTCGTCGCTGAATCTTTCTAAGAAAGATTCGTGCAGCGCTTCAGCGCTCACCTTACTATACTAAAACTACAGAAAGAGAAGTCGAATCACGAGGGACCGAAATGCTCGGGGGATAAGGAGAGAAAGACTCTTGAATCAAGAGAATGGTGCAAGAAATATGAGAGCCCAAGGCTCTTATTTATACTAATTGAATTTTCAAAAACTACCCTCCATAATTACTTAATGACCTTTTAGTTATATAAACAACTAAACACCCCTCTATAATACTATTTTAAATGGATTTAATGATATTTGTACTAAACTAATGTCGAAAGAACTCAACATTAGTCTTATAATGACCGCATCGTCGATACCTTTCTAATGATATATACATATGTATATATATGTGTACGTATACATGATTTATACTTTATTTTAATACGTAAATATGCTATTATAATTTGTAACTCGTTCATACGAACTCCGTTTTTGACGTTCTTTATATCCACGCGTAGGTGGAGACGTACTCTACAACTTTCGTTTAGACTCCGTCGGCTAATTTTGACTTTATTTTTAAAGTTATATTTTTAACAGGCCGGGACAGGATTGGTCCGTTAAAATCTCATAACTTCTTTATCCGATGTCCATTTTCGTCTGTCTTTTTATCGTTACGCTACTAATAACGAGATCTTCGATTCTTGTTTAGGTTGTGTCGGCTAAAAATCAATCGATCTAAAATTCGAATTTCGGGTTGTACACCGCTAATCCGAAACTTCGAAAAATCATAACTTCTGCATACGAAGTCAGATTTGGGCGTTCTTTTTATCGATGTTCTTAGTTTAACATATTCTACGACTTTCGTTTAGAGCGCTAAGGCTAAATCTCTCTCTATCATAAATTTACTATTTACGCTTCCCGGCGCCGTGCCGGTTCGACGCGAAACTTCGACGGGTCATAACTTCTTCGTTATAACTCGGATTTCGGCGTTCTTTATATGTACGGAAACCTTGTGACATATTCTACAACTTGGTTAAGATTATTTATTCTAAATAATCTTTTTGTAGAAAAGTCGTTTTTGACCCCTATTGCCTCTAAATTGACTAGCCCGGATCTGCGGGCGTTACAATTATCTCCCCCTTAGGATGATTACGTCCCGGAATCATCAACGAAACAGGGCTCGTATAATGACTCCATACGTCATCTCTTCATCCTAGGTAATAATTATAACTTCTATATTCCTTCAAGTCTATCTCTTAGACTCATTGACTGTAAGCAGTACTCGATCGTGCACCTGCTCTCTACCTCAGGCTAGACTTCAAATTATGACCTATCATCATGTGATGCACGTTTAGACTTAGGTCTCTTAGAGTTAAATTCTAAAATAGACTATGCCTTCCTTCATGTTCTAATGTGATATAATCACACTTTAACATGTAGCGTTTCTGGCTACCAACTTCTTTAACAACGAACGCGATACTTCTATTGATCGCTTTGATTTCAATTGTTTGGTTTAAGTCGGACGCTACATCGAACTTGGTTCCCTGAACCACGCAACATACTCATCGTAGTCGGACTCAATTCGGTACGACCACTAGGGTTGGAAATTAACAATCTTTTTAGTCATTATCGAAATGATGGTAATGACATACTTGAAAAAAAATAGAATCAGTTACTAGCTTCTTGGTAACCTTGTGACTTTCCCTGATCCAAGTGTGAGTCCTGTGCTTCCGGTAGTATAGGCCTCTACTACCATTCACACCTACTCATACTCGTCCCAAGTATTGTCTCGCAGTTTCCCAAGTCACCATGCATCAATTCATACAATCATTCAACACATCAGATAACAAAACGAAGGTTTTATATCATTTCTTGAAACGATTACATAGGTGTTCAAGTTCACCCTAGACTATGCCTCTACTAGGCTACATCATACGAAACTATGACTACTGCATAATCCGATCCTCGGGTAAGAAGTCCTCATTCTTGATTCCTCGCATGGTTCTCTGATTCGTCGAGGATCATGTGAAATGCCCTTGGCCTTGGTGGCGTTTCTGGTCTTGCTGCTTTATTTTTCCTTGGGCAGTCACTGGACATGTGCCCCTTGCCTCCACATCCATAGCATACTTTGTCATTATGCGTGCAGTCTTTGGAATAGTGACCAGTCCTCCCACATTTGTAACAAGTCACTTCTTCGTTGCACTTTCCACCATGCTTCTTCTTGCATCTATCACACCATCTTGCTTCACCTCCATTTGCTCCTCCAAGCTTTGAGAATTTGCTTTCCTTGTTCGGCCTCGAAGATCCTTCAAACTTCCGCTTCTCTCCTACCTTATCTTTTTCTAGACCCTTTTCTCTTATCTGGGCTTCTACGTTCTTAGCTGCCCTAACAGCTGCTTTCAAGGTAGTTGTCATTTTGACCATTGGGCCAAAGTCAGTGGGCAGCCCGTTAGCAAACCTATCAATCTTGGAGAGTTCAGTAGGCACCAAGTAGGGGAATAGCTTCATCCTCTCGGTGAATGCGGTGGCATACTCATCAACACTCATCTTTCCTTTCTTCAGGTTCTGAAACTCGTTGTTTAGGTCTATCAGATCTATCTCCGAGCAGTATTGCATTTTCAACTGTTCCAAAAACTCTTCCCACGACATCCTTAAGGCTTCTCCTTGTGGCATCGTATCTGCCAATAGCTTCCACCAGCTCAAGACTCCAGTTTTCAGCTATCTTACTGTGAAGACAGTCTTCTGTTTCTCGTTACAGCTGCAGCTCTCAAACACCATTTCCATCTCAGAGATCCAATCCATAATCTCAACCGGCTTCGGGCTTCCTGAGAGACTTGGTGGTTTCGCACCCAAGAAATTCTTGTACATCCGCCCATCCTTGTTGTTT